CCAACAAACACCATCAGCGACTTGCTCTCCTTGCCGAAGATAATCGGAATATCCCTGTCTGCTTTGCTGCTGTGATGATGTCAAGAATATCTATCTCAGGAGCTACTTTGACAACGGGAGAGAAGCATTCAGAGCCAGGTATAGAAGGGTAAGAATCAACAATGACCGCTGCTGATGAGCCTTCGCTGGAGCCTAGAGAATCAACCCCATTGTTGCGCGGGACTCCAGCGGCGGCGGCCTTTCATGGAAATCCCAATGGACTGGCTTCAGACGGCTCACTCCTTTCCAACGAGGTTGACGAAGAGTCCTTGGACCTTGATCTCGCCAAAGTTCAATCGATCCCTCATGGGGGCGAAGTAGAACCCGGCTTCCCACCAGCCCACCAGGGCAGTGCCATCGCACCCAACTACGGCAGTCTGTCGTCGGAAGCGGTGGCATCCCAAAGCATATCGAGCAAGGTTTCGGGACAAGCAAACCACTTCATAAACGTTACCCCTGCACAGTTCTGGACGATTTTCGGCGGGATTCTGTTCTCGTACCTGATCGCGTTTTTCGACTCGACTCTGATGGGCTCCATCCACCCAGTCATCACATCTCACTTCCACGCCACCAACTCCGCCTCGTGGCTCTCGACTGCATTTCTGCTTACGTGCACGGCCTTTCAGCCCGTTATCGGCCGTCTCTCGGACACCTTTGGTAGACGGCCTCTCTATCTCGTTACAATTTCCATCTTCTTCGTAACCACGGCTTGGTGCGCGTTGGCGCAGAGCATTGGGAGTTTCATTGCCGCAAGGGCATTTGGTGGCCTTGGGGCCGGTGCGGTGACTTCCCTCGGCATGATCATCAGCTCTGACCTTATATGGGTGGAATACAGAGGAATCTATCAGTCTTATATCAATTTCTGCTATGGGACAGGTGGATCCCTTGGGCTGGCCTTGGGTGGTGTGCTGGCCGACTCTTTCGGCTGGAGGGCAGCGTTTGGGATACAACTTCCCTTCATCTTCGTGTATCTAGTTGTCGCTTACTACACCACCCCTGCATCCCTTGGGCCGGAGCTGGCGAAGAATGAAGGATACACCCTCCGGCAAGCCATGAAGACTATCGACATTAGAGGTTCCTTCTTGCTCGTCGTTTGCGTGACGGCCCTGATGCTTGGAATAAACCTGGGCGGAAACATTTTCTCATGGAGCCATCCACTGGTCATTTCTTCCCTTGTTGTGTCCGGTGTGCTTGCGGCCCTCTTTGTCAAGGTGGAGGCAACAGCCAATCGACCGGCCATGCCCCTGCCACTCCTCCACAGTGCCCCAAGGGCGAATTTGATAGTATCAAATTTCTTCGGTAACATCGCCATAAATACGGTCCTCTTCAACGCACCCATCTTCTTCCAGGCGGTGAAATTGGAGTCACCCAGCGCTGCAGGCATAAGATTACTGTCTTCTTCCCTTGGTCTCCTGGTCACCAGCGTGTCTACCGGGTTTCTCGTAACCTGGAGCCGGCGACTGACGCCCACGCTCATCCTGGGGTTTGCATGCCTGCTCTGCAGCGGAATTTTCACATCCATGCTGGGAAGAGATGTCCCAACGTGGATAGCAATGATTCTCATCGCACCGTCGGGATGTGGTCAGGGCTTCGCATTCCCCACAACCATGCTGTCGGTTCTTGCTGTCAGTGCCCAAGACGAACAAGCGGTGGTCACGACAACGCTTGGATTGTTCCGCAATCTTGGTTCCGTGATGGGGGTCGCCATTAGCAGTTGGGCTTTGCAGAATGCGCTCCTCTACTATCTAGATGGAAATGTATCGGGGCCAGACAGAGCAGACATCATCCGGCAGGTTCGCAGGTCCATCAGTGCCATTTCTCATCTTGATCCGTTACATAGAACCCAAGGTATGAGAATGATAATGAGTGTTTCGCCGAGTTATACCCCCCCGTCTGGCTTCATTGTTTCCGCCATCCACCCCATGCTCCAGGAACCATTGCTAAGATAATTACTGCTGCAGTTGTTCATGCGTACGAGCTGGCACTCCGCGCAACATTCCTCTCGGGCATCATTTCCGCTGTGATTGCGTTGGCTCTGGTTGTTCCAATCAAGCTCCCGCGGCTGCGGCGAAAGGAGCAAAATGTATGAGAACATGAACGAACGTGTACGAGTTTTATCAGTCGTTTGGGGACAGTCCCTCAGATGGACCTTTTCTGATATATGTGAATGATCTAGAGGCATGTTTATCGCATTCTTGAGAGAAGAAATTATGTGTCCAATACTTGCATTTTGTACATAACCCATCGATAATTTCCATTAGCATTTGCATATATACGATGGAGTTGATATATAGAGTAGTCAGGCGGAGCAAAACAGCAGTCCAGATGCGGGAAACGCGCATGTACTTTTAGTCTCCCCGTGTTACCCCTTTTCCATACTTTTTAGGACCTTTCTTTTTTCATTTTTCATTTTTTTCATTTTTATTTTTCATTTTTCCATTGTTATATTTTATTTGTGGG